TGTTTGGCGGGTCCAGGCTGGGGATTCGAACCCACCACCTTATGTGTACGTGGCTGGCACCTTAGCCGGTTGAGCTATAGGCGCCGAGCCTATTTTACTTTTTTAAAAGCATGTGTTATCAGGTGGCGCCTGTGACTCAAAGGAATAGGGCACCAGCCCCATATGCCAGAGTTGGTGGGTTCAAACCCAGCCCCAGCCAGAAAAAAAAAAAAGCATGTGTCATCAATAAGAGCAATAATTATTTCTAGTTAGAGATGATGGTGGATATAGATTACTACACAGTATTCACCCTGTCTTCCCCATATTAAACATTTACTCCTAACTCCTACCTTCCTCTTTATGACTATTCAGGAAACTTTTTTAGATTAAATGTTGGTGAAGACCCCAGAGCTAAAGGCAGATAAGAATATACATTTATCAGCTCAGCACCGTCACATAGTAGTTATGGTGCCAGCCACATACACCAAGGCTTCCGGTTTCGGACCCAGCCCAGGCCAGCTAAATAACAATGGCAACTTCAATAAAAAATAGCCAGGGATTGTGGCAGGCAAGCCCCAGCTACTTGGGAGGCTGAGGCAAGAGAATTGCTTAAGCCCAAGAGTTTGAGGTTGCTGTGAGCTGACTGCACAGCACTCTACCGAGGGTGACATAATGAGACTCTGTCTCAAAAAAATAAATAAATAAATAAACATTTATGACTGGAGGTGGTAGCTTACACCCGTAATCCTAGCAATCTGGGAGGCTGAGGCAGGTGGATTGCTTGAGCTCACGAGTTCAAGGCCAGCCTGAACAAGAGTGAGACTTCATCTCTACTAAAAATAGAAAAACTGAGGCAAGATCACTTGAGCCTGGGAGTTGGAGATTGCTGTGAGCTATGATGATGCCATGGCACTCTACCCAGGGCAACAGCTTGAGACACTGTCTCCACCCCCCAAAAAAGGGGTGTCCTCCACCCCCCAAAAAAGGAATAAACATTTAATGGAGGGAGAATAACAGTAAAATGAATACTTCTTGAACCGTTACCATGTACCATGGCACTGAGCTAAGCAATTTCTGTGCATCTTGTCCAAGGGCCCACAGCAAGTAAATGATGAAACTTGGTATTCAAATTCAAGGCTTACTAACTCTAGAGCCCGATTCTTATTTTCTATGCTATGCCAACTCCATTATTATATACCAGGTACTGTCTATACATTGCCTCATACATTTTTTTTTATAAAATTCTCTCATTCTCCTGTAAGAAATAATCTCAAATAGATGAAATCACTTATCCAAGGGCATATTACATCCAAACCATTTATCCTATCTTGTGATTCTCTCCCATGTTTCAGCCAAGGTCTTTAACAGCAGAGTGGTTTGTCCAGCAACGGGGCCCCTTTTCCCACTTCCCAGCACCCACATAAACAGGAATCATGTGCTGGAAATGAAACCAGGTGGCAGAAGCAGCTACATAAGCAAGAAAAGCGTGATCGGGTCCACATAAACCAGATGACAGGAGTGAGAGCCTTCACTTACATTACGGGGACCATCAGTGAGAAGTGGGATGACAATGAACCTGAAATAAAGGTTGATGAAATAAAACTGGTTTTCCAAGGGACAGTGTTTCATCTTCCCTCTCACCAAAGAGGTGGCAGTTTTGTTATTTGAATAACTTCAAACCAATGGTCAAAGCAATGAAGATATTTTTAAAGGAAAGTAATTATTTATAGTTTCTGGTGCCCACCATTGGTTTCCTTTCTAGAATTTTTTTTTATCCAAATACAGTTGCATTTTAAAACAAAGAAAGAATTTTTTTAACAGCACTGAGTCTATATAACTATAGCATAATAAACTGAGAGGAATAGAATTTGCTCATCATATTAAAGGGAACAAAGTAGGTTTACCTTTGGAAGTCAGCTGTGTAGTTATTTTTTTTTTTTTTTAGACAGAGCCTCAAGCTGTCCCCCTGGGCAGAGTGCCGCGGCATTACAGCTCACAGCAACCTCCAACTCCTGGGCTCAAGCGAGTCTCCTGCCTCCGCCTCCCAAGTAGCTGGGACCACAGGCGCCCGCCACAACGCCCGGCTATTTTTTGGTTGCAGCCGTCATTGTTGTTTGGCGGGTCCGGGCTGGGGATTCGAACCCACCACCTTAGGTGTACGTGGCTGGCGCCTTAGCCGGTTGAGCTACAGGCGCTGAGCCAGTTATTTTTAATTTAATAAAGTGCTGCATACATTTTTGTAATATGAAACTATCTGTATATTTAGAACAAGCTTCCCTTGTAGATGTCCACAGACCCTAACTCTATACCTTGGTTAGGTCATTTCTTAGCATTTTCATCTTTTATGCACCTTTCTACCTTATTTTATAGGGTTTTTGTGAAGATGAAATTTATATACACACACACACAGTGTAGCAGAGTGCCTAACACAGAGTTGATATTTACTATGGAAGTTGTTATTATTATATGATTATATCATTTAATTTAATGTTCTTACATGATATGGGTCTGAGAACCTTCCCTAAATTAGCACAGTTGGTCCTTTAACCTGGGAAAACAAATATTCCTGACCCTTTCTGGTGCTGTCAGGAGGTTCCGGTTGCCATTGTGGTTGTCATACTCTGTCTTTCTGTTTCAGGTGGTTAGCTCAACCAATGGAGAGCTGAATGTTGATGACCCAATGGGAGCCCACTCCAATGCACCGATCACAGCTCATGCCGAGGTGGAGGTAGTGGAGGAAGCTAAGTACGTTCATCTTTCAAGGGGGCTGTTAAGTCATGAGTTGAAGATCTTTCTGTCTCTTCCTCTCTGTGTGCTGCTCATCTTAGACTGGGTTCCTCATGCTCGTATCCACAGCTTTCTTCTTTGACCATTTTATTTTTTGCATGGTACCTTAAGGCTGCTGCTGCCCTTCGTTAGCTGTGATTTGGGGGAAGATAGTGATATTTTTCTAGTCCATGTGAGGCAAAAGATAGAATGAATTAAAAGAATCATGTTATCAGGACTGTGGCAGGTAATAGCCATAAGCCTCTTGGGGCTGTGGAGCTTCTTGCTGCCTGTTGTATTTAGAGAAAATTCTTCGGTTGAACCATGGGCCATGCTGAACAGCATTTAATTGTTGGTTGTGGGCTCACAACAGGGTATACAGTCCTAGAACAATGTTTCATGGCCATTTGTTCACTCTCAATGATTTTGGATTCAGAAAGACTAAACAAGTCAGACAAGAAAAATAATCTGCAACTGTGAAAGAGATTAGGCAGGAAAGGATGTTACACTAATCCAAAGAGAGTGGGGAGGTTGCCCCCATGCCCTTTCCTGCTTCTCTTGCATGTGTATGTCTTGCCCTGCCCATACCACCAGCCCTGTGGTGCTCTGTGCATGTCTGTGTTTAAACTCTTAGAATCTGCGGTGGAAGGTGAAATAACTGCTGATTCTGCTGCATAATCAGCATTTCTACCATGACTTTCCCTTTTTTACCCATCCCAAATTCAGTTCTAAAACTCTAAGAAGACATCAGGTAGGGAGAGACATCATAAGTCAGTAACTACTGCCAACTGTGATATGGATGACCTTTCTTGTAAGCCCTTTGAGAATATATAGGATATCCATGCGTCTTGTTCTCTGAAGCAGGCAAGATATATATGGTGATATTGTGCCCTAAGTGGTCTCCTGAGCTTTCAGATAGCCTAAATACAAGCCAAACCATGTTTTCACCTGTAGGTATGAGTCATTGAGCAGCCAACGAAGACCTTCATTCTTCTTTCTTCCAGAGTCACTTTGCATGGCTGTCCCTTCCCCATTTCCCTGCTCTCCTGAGCATCTATTTGATGAGCTCACTTTGCCTTCAAGAGGTCCTTTCCTTGGAAAGCCAGGGCTTGAAGATTCCTATCCAGTAGATAAAAAGGAACTGGGGATGACTTGAACTCTTTTCTGTTTAGCCTCTGCTGACTATAGGCAGCTTCAGATGCTCTTCTCCCAGCTCATATGAGGCACTGATACATAAGGGAAGCCATGCAGCTTATGCCAGGAAGACACCATATTAGTAAAGAAACATGTTTCCTGTTTACAGGGACTTTGGAGATTTTAATGATACTCATAGCTTTTCTGTTTCCATGATAGAACTACATTCTCTTAAAAAACAATATGTTAGCCGGGCGTTGTGGCGGGCGCCTGTGGTCCCAGCTACTTGGGAGGCAGAGGCAGGAGACTCGCTTGAGCCCAGGAGTTGGAGGTTGCTGTGAGCTGTAATGCCATGGCACTCTACCCAGGGGGACAGCTTGAGGCTCTGTCTCAAAAAAAAAAAAAAAAAAAAAAAAAAAAAAAAAACAATATGTTACACTCACCCTCTTGGCTCTGATCCCTGGGTGCATTTTGGAGTCACCTGGGGTATGTTAGAAAATAAAAACACCTGAGTCTGACCACAGAGGTTCTGATTTAATTTATTGAGGTACAGCATGTCCATCAAGAATTTTTTATTTTTTTTTTAGAGACAGAGTCTCACTTTGTTCCCCTCAGTAGAGTGCCATAGCATCACCGCTCAAAGCAACCTCCAGCTCTTGGACATAGGCAATTCTCTTGCCTCAGCCTCCTGAGTAGCTGGGACTATAGGTGCTCACCATAACACCCAGCTATTTTTTAGTTACAGTTTGGCTGGGGTCAGGTTGGAACCTGCCACCCTCAGTATATGGGGCTGGCGCCCTGCTCACTGAGCCATAGGCACCGCCCGTCCATTAAGAATTTTAAAAGTTGGGCAGCGCCTGTGGCTCAAAGAAGTAGGGCGCTGGCCCCATATACCGGAGGTGGCAGGTTCAAATCTGGCCCTGGCCCAAAAAAAAGAACTTTAAAAGTTCAGGTCAGGCGTGGTGGCTCAGCCTGTAATCCTAGCACTCTGGGAGGCGGAGGTGGGTGGATAGCTTGAGCTCATAAGTTTGACACCAGCCTAAGCAAAAGCGAGACCCCATCTCTACTAAAAAAAAATAGAAAAACTGAGGCAAGAGGATTGCTTGAGCCCAACAGTTGGAGGTTGCTGTCAGCTATGATACCACAGCACTCTACCCAGGGTGACAACTTGAGACTGTGTCTCAAAAAAAAAAAAAGAATTTTAAAAGTTCAAGTAATTCTAATGTGTAGATAAGGATGGGACCAATACACTCAGCATGATTTAGGCTTGAAAGATAGCTGTACCTATTCCCACAGCCACCCTACTCTTAGTATTTTTTTGTGACTTACTTTGAAGGCTAGAAGTTTAGCTCTGGATTTAATATTATGCTTTGAAAATCAAGATCGAATGGGCTTTATTCTTATAATACACCCTATGTAGGTTATCTTTTGAACCCATTCGTCTCATTTCATTTTGGTAAATGTGTACTCTAATTGTGTATGTGAGTGTGATGTTTGTGTTCTGTGTGTAAGATAGGGGCCGATTCACACAAAGAGATTTAAATCTGGTGTACTTTGTTTTGGTATTATGTAAACTCTCAAAGGTAAAGAGAGTTTAAAGTCTTTCCCTTTAGCAAAAAGGACTGTGCTTCTTTGCCATCGGCTCCATGTTTGGACCTTCTGAAAGGTGTGGAAACCAGAGGGGAGCACTCACATTTGCTAAATGTCATCCAAAAGCTCAGGGCTTAGAATATTTTGTATACTGAATATCCTAGTGGTTTCATGACCTACCAATCCATCTTGTCCAGGGAACAGTCCGGACCTAGCCATATGTTACTCTTCTTGGTCTTCTACGTGTATAGAGGCAGGGACAACATAGCCATATGTTCACCTGCTTGATCATTTTCACGGGAAGAAGTCACAGCTAGAGAAGCTTGAGGCTTTCCCAACAGCCCTTCAATTGCAGGCAGCCATGATGCCTTTCATTCGTAATACCTGCTTGTGGGGTAGAGGGGGCTGTTGCCTATATTGAGACTAACTCAGGTATTGGGAAACTATGTGAACCTTCACTTTCAAGTTTTTAATTTTGGGTTCCTCACTCAGCTTGTTCTGTATGAAGGTAGAAGGAAATAACAGGATCTTGGGCAGGCATCCTCAAACTACGGCCCATGGGCCCCATGAGACCTGCCTAGGACATTTATCCGACCTGCTGGGTATTTTTGCTGCAGCTGCCTGTTCTGCCAACTCGTCCCAGGGCCCACAGTCCAGCCCTCCAACAGTCTGAGGGACAGTGAACTGGCCCCCTAGTTAAAAAGTTTGAGGACCCCTCATCTTGGGTTTTGTTCTGTGGACAAAATGAACGTCTGAGATTTCCCTTTTTCTGAAGCAATAGGACTCATGTCCTTGTTTACATATGGATAGAAGGGTGGTGAGGACAGGCAGCTTTTTGATTGATTTTTGTTATAGTAAGAACATAGGAATTTTTAATTATCCAGACTTTAGCTATCACTTAACAAAAGTGAACCTGTTTCTCCTGAGAATTAACAAGAATATAATTTCAGCCCTTCTCTGGTAGTTACACTTTAATCCAAAGCCATACCCCTTATCATCTTCTAATAAGATAAATGTCTCTTAAACCTTTTCTCCCTTTTTAGAGGAAGAGATATCTACTAGCTGCTTTGGTTCATGCATGTTAGACTTGTAAAAGGAATTCTTTTACCCTCAAAATAGGAGGATTAGCTCAATAGTTAGCTTGCACAGTGTAAGACTTCATGTGGAAACCAAAATGGCTTGCCCTTGGTGCTTGATTGAATTCTTACAGGCAGAGTCATTTGTTCTTTCCCTTCCTGCCTTCCTGGAAGTTGCCCAGAAAAGCCCATCCTGGGGCTCCCATCAGCTCTTTCTGTTTTGCCTCACCCCTGAGATCAGCGCACACTTTGATGCTTCTATCAGGCTCCTGCCCTCTCCACTTCTATGTGGGGACCAAGTGACCTGGGCCTACTCACCCTACCTTGACAGAGGAAGAAACTAAACACAGACACTTAACTGCATGTTTGCATGGCTCACAGGGAGTCGCTTCCCATCTCACCTCTGTGAACTAATATCTCTCTCTTTCTCTCTCTTCCTTTCTGTGTTTTTCTCTTTACATACTCTGTAGCTGCCTGAAAATGCTCAACCTGTGGTGAGTCCCTCTCTCCAGTCCACATGCAAGGGGAGCGGACCAGACTAGGCTGGGACTGGCAAAGCCAAACAAAATGCCTTAGGAACACTGAATGGCTTCCTTTTGCCTCCTTGTGCCATAACCACCCAGACTGGGGAACTAGCTCCACAAGGTGGGGATGGGAAAGGCCTATACCCAGGAATTAATCTATTCCTTCTTTCCTTACAAAACCACCTTATCAATGCCTCCTGCCAAAACAGTTTATAAAATTATCTCTTTATATTTAACTGAGTAAATTTTCTCCCAAATTAATATGACCAACTATCATCAGAGGGAGAGGGACACAGAGGTAACAGAACAAGGTTTCTCAGTTGTTTAGTTGTGTTTCCTCACAACCGCAAAGGTAGTGCTGTTGCTATATAATTTTATATTCTGCAACTTTCTCTAATCTGGAAATTGGCTGCTTTGGAAAAATCTCTGACATTTTTGGGATTCAGCTCATTCTTCATCTATACGGTAGGAATCTCTCAAGAAGAGAGCTCCTTGGGGGAAAGATAGACATTTTGTTGTTTGGAGGATTGTTTTGTTTGTTTTTCATTTACTGTCTTTATTCAGAAGAGAGTATAGGTGGCCAAGGGTTGACTTAGCTAATTGACATTATTAGAACCTGTCTCTTCTACTCCTGGAAAGGCTTCTAGAATGCATT